GTCTACTTGGGTTGTTAATTTATCATATCTTTCATTTATATCAGCCTTGAGAGAATCAAGTGTTCCTTCCATATCTTCTTGTGGCTGAATCAATTAAGAAAGATTTATCGTCCATTGTATGCAACTTGGTATAAGAAATTATTTAAGTTGAGGAAAGGAAGCAGAGGAATTAGGCTGGGTTTCTTCCACTTTGGATTGTTCTCTAGTGCTTCCTCCTATTCGTTTTGAAAAAATGAAAAGTAAACTTATGCTAGAATTTCTCTTCATTAAGTTGAATCAAAGCAAATTATAACATTAAAAGTAAGAAATCAGAAAAAAGAAAGCTCAATATACTTAATAACAGATATATAACCAGATAATACAGTGTGAAGGGAATGGACATAAAGGAAGCTTTTAAGCATATCAAATTATACAGATATTGAATTCACATCTTAAGAACTGAATTCCATTCATTACAATTCATACCACTTCAACTAAACATTTCCTTTAAAATAAACATTCCTTATGTTGGAGCTTATTCTTGTAGTTAAAAAAAAAAATTTAAGGGAGTTGAAGAAACTAAAAAGGAGTCAGATCAAACTAGTTCAGACAAGCTGAGTAGCAGGTATGTGGTTGAAGCAAACAAAATAATATCCAAAGGCAAGTATATCCAAATTAATAAAATTGTTAGCTATATAATTGCACTAGAAGAGCACTTTTACATCTTTCTTTTAAACTTTATTACTGGTCAGACGTCATTAAAAAATACAGTGTGTAACACAAATTATAATGTTGCATGCATGATAAAAAGGCCTGCAGTCATCCATACCCTATTTTGCTGTCAACAATGCACGAATTCTACAGGCTACATTCTATATGCCAAATAAAAGCGTTTCAACAGCAAACATTACCTTGGGATCTTAGACTTAGACTTCTTCTGCCTGACCTGGACATGGACTAAGAAGAGGTGTTAGTAACTCATTGTGGGTGTCTTGGTGAAAATTACAGTATAGCTGGATATGATCCTGGGACTCAATGTTCCCATCTTTTCAGCATAGGGAATTTTGGGGTATTTACCCTCCAACATTGCTGATGGTAAGATCTTTAACTGCAATAGTGTACAGGCCTTCCAAAGTTTGTTATTTGTAAATTGCTGGTTCAAAATGGAATTAGCTCTGCCCCAATTGAGCTCTAAGAGAAATCTTGATATATTCTTTTTGTAATTCTGTGTCAAGAATTCTTTGTATATGAGTGATTGCCAGATGTTGTTCTAAGTGCATCAGCATCTCATTTGATTGTGTGAGATTTATGTAATTTCCAATTTATGTAATTTTCAAGGAGAGTACTAATTATCTGGTATAAGATGTACCAGACCTTGGGGCTAAAAATGAGTTTTTAGCCAATATTTGAGAGCACACAGCCAAACCACTATTTTGATTTTTATAAACCCTGAATCTAAACAGAGCAGCATTAGGGACATACAGTATATTGCTACCTGAAATAGCTCTGTTAGGAAGCCAGTTTCAACTCTCACCAATTTCTTGTAACTGATTCCTAGATTTAACTCTGCTCTATAGTGGAATTGTGCCAATGCTTTGGCTTCAGAAAGTTTCAAAGCAGCTGGTACATACCAGGCCCCTCTAAAGAGAAAGAGAAGTTTGTTTATTCAGCGTACATAGCCACCCATCTCACATACGTGAGTCTGGGCAGCTCACACACTTAAAAACAGAAAACAATAGTTACAAAAAACCAAAATGAAAACTATTAAAAACCAATTAAAACAGTTAAAACTTAATTTGTGGGAGAGTGCAATCCATACAATGACTAGCAATACAACAATACTGGATCCCCAGGCATCATGACAAAACCATGTCTTGAGAACCTTTTGAAAGGCCAGCAAAGTCAGGGCCAGTCTAACGGGGGGTGGGCAGGGGGAATGATTTTCAAAATAGTGGATACTACAGCAGAAAAGGCGCTCCTCCTGGGTCCCATCAGATGACATTCCTTTGTAGGTGGGATCCATAACATGCCTCTCCTGCCAGCTGTGATGGGACAGGTAGATGTATCTAGGGAGAGGTGATCACTCAAATAACCTGGCCCCATGCCATGTAGGCTTGTTGTTGAATCCTTTTGAGCATTCAGAGCAACCTGAGAGGTATGAGTATGTTGCTTCCCTGAATAACATAGCACATATCCCAGGTACTTAAAAAAGGGACTTGTTCAAGTATGTGCCCTTCGGGGATTCAGTGGAACTTTTTGTAGCCTCTTACAAAACACATGACCTTTGTTTCTCATAGTTAATCTGTAATGGACCAGTGTTCCCATGGCTCTTAAAGACTTGCCGGTGTCTGCAATAGTATAATGGCATCGTTTATAGTTTTAAATGAAAGCAGTGTTTCTTTTGGGTTTCTCAAAAAAAAAAATTGTACACACACACACACCCTTGCTGTGTTGACTGTCCTTTTCAAATTACCTGTTGTAGATAAATTTTGCAGTTTCAAATTGTACTGAAACAAAAAGTAAACCACTGAGCAATCAAAAAAGGAACAATTCAAAAGGCAGTGTAGAAAATTGTTTAGCTAAATAAGCTTCCTCCTAGATGTAGAAAAAAAGTCATAAATCCCAGTCAGAGAAGTTTCAGTGGGGTTTCAGAAAGAAATAGTTCAGAAATTCAGAAAACATGAGTAAGATGTAGTAAGAAAACACTTAAGATTAAAACCTGAAAGTTCTGCATGGGTGGTTCTCATCAGAAATGCCTGGTGTAAGTTGCTTCAGGGAGGATGTCAATCTCTTGAAGATTTATAAATGCTTTAGGCTCATCCCTCAGGAACAGAGCCCAAGGAAAAATTGGTTGGCAATTAACAGCCAAGAATATTTCTTTCTGCACTTCGGTTGGAGGTCATTAAAGAGTTTTCCACTATAAAAATTACTGTCTCCTTAGTGAACAACAATCTTGGATTCAGAGATATGTGTTCTTAATTGCTTGGAAAACTACTCTGATCAAACTCCGCTAATTTTAGAAAACATTTTGAGATTGCAATTAAACACTCATGCATTTGTCAAACACAACTGAACAGTTCTGTGAAACGTGACGTTAATTTATAAAATGTTACATGCATATGGGTTGGAATTTCTGTAATTAAACATTTAGCATGTGTTTTTGTTAGAAGTTATAGGGTAAAGAGTTCAATATCAGTACTTTATGAAATGTGATTGCTTCAGAATTAATGAAATATAAACTTAAATGTTAGAAACCTATCTTTAGGCAGTTCACTGGAACATTCTTATTTTCTGTATATAGGGAACCGTCATAATTATCGCAAACCATGGTGACAGGATTGACATCCCCCCTGGAGCGGTTCTGGAGAACAAAATAGTCTCTGGCAATCTTCGGATCCTAGACCACTGAGCTGCTATGAACTTCATATAATATAAACAGTTTCACAAATGGAAGAAAATATAGGCATTAGATTTGTATACAAACAATCTATTCACTGTTCTTACAGTATTATTTCTGTAATCCCTTTTAACTGAGAAAACTAAGAGGCAAATATTTAAATGACTCTAATTCAGTTAATATAATCTAAAGTGCAATATTGTTTGTCTTAAAGACAAGCAGCTCTTGTGTGAGAAGTTTAACATGCTGATATTCAATGAGTTTTGAACTGCTTGTAACAAAAAGCTGTGAAACAATATGCTGTTAACTATTAAATGCAACTACATTATGTAGTAGTTTTGCTACTATAGCAAGTATGTCTAGTATGTTATTATTTGCCTTTCTGTACTTCAGACTCTGCTATTCACCCCCTTCACAAGATGGTTCAGTACCTGACTTGTCTTCTCATGTGTTTACCCAAAGAAAAGATACCTGAAACATTTGAATAGCAATTTCTCATCCCACATCTATACTGTCACTACTTAAGAGCATTAGTTTATTTTTAAATATGGAACAGATTGCCCTCTTTATTGTACTCATATTAACAGAATAAAATAATGTGTTGGGATGAAGGAGGAAATAAATCCTGCATCTGTACAGGTACTGAAATAAAGAATATCGAGCCCCCAGTCTGGATATTGGTTTTTGTTGGTAATAATGTTAGTAAATAAGTTGGTCTTTTAAACAGTTCATTTTAAGAGTTTTATTTCGATTGACAGTGATTTCTGCTAATGTTAACAGATAGGCATGCCTGTTTGAAAGAAGCCATAGGCACACAAAACATGGTAGGCTATCGTTGTACATAATCATCACAAGAGTAGGCACTCACTGGATTTAGATAAAAATGCTGTGAGGTGAAATACACAGGCACTTCATTACTTTATAACAGGCAGGTACCAGCCTGAAAGCATTAAAAAATGTTATAAATTAATATCCCTTATACTGTTGCTTTTATGGGTATATTATGACTCTGCACCCTTGAAATATTTTAACTGGGTGTGTGGGTGGGAAAGAATTGAAGGTAAATGTTACATGGACACTGGCCAATTTATGCTGTTGTAATCACCCTCCTTAAATAAACAACAGATATGCTTGAACTGCCTTTTCAGTTTGCCCTTATAAGAATTGGGCAAGCTCTACAACTTCATTTTTAAGATACAGGAAATATTTAAAATATTGTTTCCTGATGAGAGTAAGTAATTCAATTGGAAAAAATACTTTGGAACATGAATGCACCTTAACAAATCCAAAGTTATGTAGGTAATCAAGAATTTATAGAAACATCTGTAAAAAAATAATTTAACAGTAGTTTTATAGTGAAAACATTTTCAAGAATTCAACAGCAAGAATTTTCAAA